GCACGATTTAACAAAGGTTATCCATTTTGGGACGGATCACTCGAGATATTGATGCAGCGAGATATTTGGAATATTTTTACGGAAGCTTTGTTTTATATATTTATTCGTTTGAAATAATTATCCGTTATGTGATAGTTTAATTTAATTTTGTTCGTTGAGGAAAAAATAGCAAATGAGGAAATTTTGGTGGCAAACCTGTGATTTAGAGAAATCTATGAGTTGTGATGGAGAAATGTTTCCTTGAGAACAACGGAGATTGCTGTTGGAAGAAGAAAGGTAGTCGGAGTAAACTGCGGCCAAGAAAGAAGCACTCGTAACAAACTGCATATTGTTCCACCGTTGCCGGAAAATCAAACCGCCGGGAGTTTTCTGAATGTTCTTTGAGCTTTTTCCCAACAAAGAACACATAAATTGTTCTGCTTTCTGTTGGTACCTCTCGAACACGGCAGTGTGTTCTTTGGCTTTCCCTTGCATCAAAACCTATATAAACCACACACATTTCCGGTTTAGTTAAACCAAATCATACCGCGAAGACTAAGGTTAAATCAAAGTGAATACCTTAGCGACAAGGGTTTGAACGCCTGCGTATTTAACGTCCCAACCAAATTCCGTCATAGACCAGCCCGTACCGCCCATTGAATCGCCATTTTTGCCGAGGTAATCCAAATAATATTTATCATTTGTTGCTTGGTATAACCACGCAGCAGCCCACAGTAATTCATCCTGTTTATAGACCCAAAAAATGCAACTTTATGGAATGTTTTCTTTTAGTTAATTACTGACTTGCTTATATAAGAAAGTTCGCGTTTAGATCAAAGCGCAGCGTTTAGTACATTGTAACCGCTGACGGAGCGATAGTACTTCTGTGCCACGGTGATGCTGCTGTCGTATTTGCCTCTGTATTTGTCCGCAAATTCAAATAGCTGCCAACGTAAGAAATGTGTTACGGTGCGTGGCAAAATTGTGAATATTATGAGTTGATACGGTTATTTCTACGTTTCTTGCACAATTCATTTCGTTTCTCGCCAAAACTATTCAACTAATATCCAAATCCGTAAATCCATTTTCCCTTTATAATCACTTCTAAGTTCTAATCAAGCATCAAGGTTAGACACATTCTGGTTTAGGGTTCACTTTTGTTTTGTTTTTTGGATTTTGGGTCTTTAGATTATTAGACAAAGATATCTATACTAGACTCTTTACCGAATTCTATTTGGGTTCGGTGTTTTTGCCCATTCCTAATCAAAAAGCTGTAATTTATTTTTTGAATGAATGTAAAATTAATATTCAAACAAAAACGTTTTTGCAATAAATGTGACAATAATTTGGAAAAGTGTCAAATCTGTGGGTGAGGTTTAAGAACCTGATGGGCGTGGCGGAGTAGCTCGGCAGAGTATGAAGGATAAGAGCGTCGGAAAACGATGGAAGCGGCAGCCATTGCGGCAGCGGTTTCTCCGGCGAGATCAGAACCAGGATTGTTCTTGTCAATCCTGTAAGCCCTGCGATCAGTAGTCATTTCCTCTGGCCTTTGCCAACAATTATGATCCGACTTACCATCTCCCACCTACATTGTTACAAAATATTATCAAATTCTAAATCAATGTAAATGATTAATCATAATTAATGTGTTACTGTTACCTCTCCGTAGAGGACGTTAGGTTCAGGGTGGGCTTTGATGAAATAATCAGTTCCCCACTTAACGGCGTCAATGGCATGGCCAAGTTCGCCGTTAGATTCAAGCTGACCACCGTATTCTATGATGCTCCAACACATTGTCGTCACCGTAAAAGCCATCGGAAGCCCGAACTTCACATTGTCTCCGGCGTCATAATATCCTCCCACTAGATCCACCTGCTCAAAAAAAATTATAAATTCTTTTATCTAATCTAAAGAAGAAAAATTTCAAAAAATACCACTTTTCAAGTGTCACTTTACAAAAATACCACACTTTTGAAATCTTTACAAAAATCTCACTTTTTCAAAAAACAATTTGATATTATTTATGTTTGGGTTAACTATGGTTTTAATCATGAGGGTTTAGAAGAGTTTAAGAGTCAAAATATTT